GGAGGCCCCGCTGCTGGGGGGCCACGGAATGGGCGCCGGTGTCTGCGGTGCAGAACCCGCTGCGCGCTCCTCCTCTCAGGTGGGACCCTGTCTCCGAACCTCTTCCTGCCCAGCTCAGGTTCGCGTGTCTGCAAGCTGACAGCTACCGGCCGCAGGGACACCGGGGCCCTGAGGTTAAATCGTCGGCCACCAGTGCTTATGGGCGGGCCCGACCCGTTTATGCCTTAACAACTTAGGGGCTTAGAAAATCAAAACAGCTCACAAGTGATGTGATTCATGTGTGATTGAGTAAATAGCACAAGCTCTTAATGGTCGTGCTGCACGAAAACCCGATGCATGGGAATCTAAATATGTGAAAATTTAAGTAGAAATGACCGCTTTAAAAGGGAAATTCCCAATAAAAAAAAGAAATTTAAAATGTAATTGACAACTCGTTCTAATTATAGAATGGTCATGAATCCCTTTAAAAAGTTTTGAACTTTATGACTAACGTTTATTGAAATGTATTGTGTGCCCTGCACTGGGCTTTTCATGGATTTTACCCGGCCACGCAGCCATTCTGTGGTATGGGCACTGGATTGTTTCCCTCTGAAAATTCATCCATTTTTAACAAATTTTTATTGAATGTATTTGGGATGACATTGGTCAATAAAATTATGTAGGTTTCACAAGCACCGTTCTATAATGTGGTTCCCACCGCAAGTCAAGTCTGTTTCCATCACCATGTATCCCCCCCATACCCTGTTCTACCAGCCCTCCAACCCCCCCTTTCCCTCTGGTAATTGCCACACTGTTGTCTCTGTCTATGAGGGTTTTGTTTTGTTTTGTTTTGTTTTGTTTGCTTAATCCCTTCACATTTCCACCCAGTTCCCCAACCCCTGTCCCCTCTGACAGCTGTCAGTCAGTTCCATGTATCCATGTCTCTGTTTCTATTTTGTTGGTTACTTTGTTTTGTTCATTAGAGTCTACATATAGCACTTGTCTTTCGCTGCCTGGCTTATTCACTTAAGGTGCTACTCTCCATGTTGGGTTCATCCATGTTGTTGCAAAAGGTTAAGATTTCCGTCTTTTAGAAGGTGAGTAGTATTCCACTGTGTAAATGTCCCACAGCTTTTTTATCTACGCATCCACTGATGGGCACTTGAGCTGTTTCCAGATCTTAGCTATTGTAAATAACGCTGCTGTGAACATAGAGGTGCATACATTCTTTCGAATTAGTGTTTCGGGTTTCTTCAGTAAATTCCCAGAAGTGGAATCACTCGCTGGGTCAGAAGCCAGTTCCAGTTTTAATTTTTTGAGGGAACTCCACACGGTTTTCCATCGTGGCAGCCCCTGTCTGCTTTCCCACCAGCAGTGCATGAGGGCTCCCTTTTCTCCATCTCCGCTCCAGCACTTGTTTGTTGACATATTGATGATAGCCATTCTGGCAGGTGTGAGGTGATACCGCAATGTGGTTTTAATTTGAAGTTGAGCTTCTTTTCATATATCTGTTGACCATCTGTATTGTTGGGGTCCAGCCCCAGCAGGTCCAGGGGTTCCCCAAGGTGTGGACGGAGTCAGAGAAGAATGAATGACACATAGGCAGCGTTCAGGTGATCATCATAGCAAGGTTCTCCAGCCAAGTTCTGTGTTTTATTGTCTTGTTACATCTGTATGTATACCAGTTGATTTTAATCCTATCAATTTCTATTTCCAAGGTTAGGGGGTTTCTTATCTCCATTCCAGGGAGTAAAGATTACGTAGCTTAAGTGTGATTGTTCGTAGTTGAAGTGATTAACTACCCGCCTGGCACTTAGTTAAGGCGTTTTATTCCCTCCCTAACTTCAGGGGAAAATCCCTACCTGGGGAAACAACCTTTCTCAGAGAGGTGACCTTGGTTAAAACACATAGCGCCAAGAAGGGGAGCAAACATATTAAGAACAGTATGCCATATATGCCAGGTCCCTTGAAACATATGCTGTGCAGATGTTTCTTCCCTGCAGCAACTGTGTCAAGCAGCAAGGATGGACCGGCTTCCATCACTGTATGTCCTCTTTGGAGAAGTGTCTCTTCAGATCCTTTGACCATTTTTTAAATTGGATTGTTTGTGTGTGTGTGTGTGTGTGTGTGTGTGTGTGTGTGTGTTTTGTTGTTTGTTTTTTTTAATGTATTTTTTTATTGATTTTTTTTTACAGAAAGGAAGGGAAAGGGATAGAGAGTTAGAAGCATCGATGAGAGAGAAACATTGATCAGCTGCCTCCTGCACACCTCCCACTGGGGATGTGCCCGCAACCAAGGTACATGCCCCTGACCGGAATCGAACCTGGGGCCTTTCAGTCCGTAGGCTGACGCTCTATCCACTGAGCCAAACCGGTTAGGGAGTTTGTGTGTGTGTTTTTATGTTGAGTTTTATAAGTTCTTTATAAATTTTGGATATTAACCCCTTATGAAAATTCATCCATTTTATCTAATCAGTGGGGTGTACCCCCTGAAGCTTAATAACAGATATAATAATGTATGTCAACTGTAATTGAAAAATAAAAAGTGATTTAATTTCCAAAAAGAAGAAAGAAAGAAAGAAAGAAAGAAAGAAATCTGCACCCTTAAAAAAAATTCGTCATTTTAAAGACGAATATCTGTTAAGGCCGCCCAGCAGGCGACAGGACTGCATTTGAACCCAGCCAGTTTCACTTGGCTCCAGAGCCTCGCCCTTAACCATAACCTAGAAGGCCACTTCACAACCTATTTAGGAATGTATCTGTAGGGTAATTACAGGTTAGTTGCTTTAATAATGGCAGAAATGAAGGCCGGGATGTTCCTCAAATATTAATCAAGTCACAGACATAAGAATTAGTGAAGGGCTACCAGGCCACACATCATCCTCCTTGAACTTCTGGGCACTGTATGAGCAAGGATACTCTCCTCATTCATGGTTCTGTTTCCTGCCCTGTTATCTCAAATACAGTTGACCCCTGAACAACACGAATTTGAACTGCCTGGGTTTATTTAAACGGTATGTGTTTTTCAATCCGGGTATAGTGGGCCCTCCTATCTCTGGGTTTCACGTTCATGGATTCAACCAACTGCTGATAGAAAACAGGATTTCTCGTCTGGAGTTGGGAATCAGTATTTTTGAATTTGCAAACATGGAGCTCAGACTTAAATACTAGCTGGGTTTTCATTTCTGACTGCAGGGTGGCTGCTCCTAACCTTGGGGTTGTTCTAGGGTCACCCGTACCTCCTTCCCTAACCTCTTGAGAGTTAGGAGATGAAAAGCTTCTATTTTGAAGTTGGTGTTAGGAGTTGGTAAGTAAGGATTCAGATAATTTGAATAACTTTTAAAAAGTCTGGAAAATCCATATTACTGAAGAAGAACTGAGTTCTAAAAAGGGCGGGCGCTGGGTCCAAGGTGATGGAATCAGGGTTGGAATGTAAATCCACACGCATTGAGGACCCTTACGGCTGCACTGGTTTGGTTTTCACGCTGTACTCCCTTTTACCTCAGACTTTAAAAAAAATATTTGGAAATTTTCTTTTAAAATAATGTTGTCCATTTTTGAAGTTTTAAGACTGGAGGTGAAGTGGTTTCAGGCATAATCTCTACTTCTCTCAACTCCGTGAAGCTTCTCTTGATAGAATCCCTTGATAGAATTATTTTAGGAGACTCAGGTTATATCCTAGTATCTGAAACAAGCAAACACTCTGGAGTCAGACAATTGATGATTTGCTATTGAAAGCTGTTTCCTCATAGGAAAATGGGGAGTGATTCCTACCCTGACAGGAGTTTTTTAAGATAAAATATATCATCTGTTAGAAATATAGTAATCTTGTGTCCTCAATCAAAAGCAATGAAAGAAAAAAAGGAAAATCTCTTAACCTTAGAATTACTAGTAGGATATTGTGCAAACGTTTGGTCAGGAACTTTTCTAAATGTACACTTCCCTTATTCTCTCAGCTTTTCCCATGCCTAACTCTGTATCTGCAGTAAGGCCCATTTCTTTCCTGTTCTTTCATATTCTGTTTGTCCAGTCTTCTTCACTTAAGTATCTCCTGAAATCCCATCCCTGCCAATGTTTTCCCCAATGAATTAGAAGAGAAATAATAAATACTCTATAAGTTTGCTTTTGCATTTACAAGGACAGTTGTGATTTCAAATAGTCTGCCGTGTTTTTCCTATAAACCATCACTTGTTAGGGCATGTGTTCTGATTGTTGGTTAGGCCGTATACATCCCCACCAAGCCCCAGCTTGCCATGTCATCATTTCCCTCTTCAGTACTGCTCCCACAACACACAGCTACCTTACTGCATAGGATGAGCTCATTTGACATGTGCCCTACCTTCTGTATGTTATTCTGATCTGGGACAGAAAAATACAGGATACCTATAAGATCTAGGTATAAAGGGCCCCAGGCTAGGATGGGGGTACAGATACAAAGACAGTTGAAGAAAAAACTGAGAGCTAGCAGTAACCCACTTTTGTCCCAAGAGAGGGGAGTGACAGCTGGCAGATCGCTGAATATAACAACACAAACAAACGGGATAGCTAGAGCTGCAGCACAAAATGTAGGAAAATATTATAAGTCGTATCTCTTCAATATATATTTGCTGAATAAATGAAGAAATAAATTAATACATGGTTTACTAGGCCAGATTTCTAATACTTTGCAAAATTAATACTTTTTCTGGTTGTCATAAAAGCGTAAGAATAAGTCATGTTTCAGAAGTCTGAGTGACTATCCAGAATCACTTCCAGTTCTGATTTTGATTTTTGGATTTTAAAAAGTGCTTAAGAGCCCTAGCTGGTTTGGCTCAGTGGATAGAGTGTCAGCCTGTGGACTGAAGTGTCCTGGGTTCGATTCTGGTCAAGGGCATGTACCTTGGTTGCAAGCTTGACCCCTGGACCTTGTCAGGGCACATGGGGGAGGCAATTAATCCATGTGTCTCTCTCACATCGATGCTTCTGTCTCTGTCTCTACCCTTCCCTTCCACTCTTTCTAAAAAAATAAAATAAGTGCTTATGAGCCTAGCTGGTGTTGCAGTTCAACGCTCACTGGTTGAGCGTTGACCCAGGAACAAAGAGATCTCAGTTCAATTCCCAG